CTTAAGTGTTAATTAAGGAATCCCTCAACAGTAATTTAATTTGCTTGATTTTTATACTCTACGTCCTCAAAGGAGTCACATGTCTTAAAAGCATGCCCAGTGGGCGTGTGGCTACTAATTTTTACCCAATTAATACTTTAGGAGGAGACTGCAGAGTGGTGCCAACTGAAAATTACCACACATTCACTCCCTTATCAATCATTCACTTCAGCCCCCTGCGTGATGTCCTTCAACAGGGTCGAGATGCCCTGGTCAGCCCAGGCTCCACTCAAGATGTTCTACACGTGTTGTTTGCTTTCAAGTGGACATATTTGCTGACTCAAAGATCAGTATTGATCATAAACGCAACATGGAGGCAGTAAGTTTCACCTCTGGCATCTGCCTGATGCTAAGAGAAGGATACTGCTCCCAAAATTCTCTTTTGCAGTTCAGTCATGTCAAGCCATGTTCTTACACCATTCATTTAGTATGGCCACACCAATGTGGCACCATCCCAACACAGTGAAACCTTCCCTTACTTCCACTGTGCAATGCAAGTAGTCAGTGTTTGTTTAGTCACTTTTTCTAGTAAGGGTTTCAGACTCTAGTTCAGTGCTGTTTATATGTTTGAGCCAAAAATGCTGCAGGGTGTTAAAAGATCTGTTACCTCTAGAACTATTCACAGCCTTTCACACTGTACAAGCCCTTTTTAAGCAAAAAGCAAATTGAGATAGGCTCTGACCAGCATCCCCTGGAGCTACTCTTGCTCTGTCTGTACTAATAATACCACCTACCATTAAGGATGCTTTATTAAGTTGCTGTGCTACAACAAAGGGCTGAAATGTCCATTAAAATGAGTTTTCCTACCTGTAGTGCTGCACAAGCAATTCAAGTAGCCTTATGAGATTTTCTTAAAGAACCATTGTTTCTGTTTAGGACACACAAAGGGCTTATAGCTATTGTTAGCCCACACAGGCCAAAGAACTTAGGCATCCATGAAAAGTTATCATGGTAGTATCCCAGGCTCTGAATGTGTGTTACTTTTTCAAGTGAAAACATTTAAGTTTTTTGTCTTCCTATGCCTTTTGGAATACCTTAGCCTGATTCATAAATAAATGTTGACTTTGTATAAAACACCCACTTTGACAAAGCTCTTCTTAGTCAGTGGATCTCATTCGTCTGCATGTCGTCTTTTAGTTATGGTTAAACTGCAATTATCAATTATGATTGACCATTCTAAGGGATGAAATTTATCCTTTATATTAAATTTGAGTCTCATTAGCATGTGCCATGATGTTTTGCATATGTCTGAGCAACAAAATAATGAATACTTTGCATGTGCTGCTCTCGTGAATCAGGAGGCCTTTTTAAGAGCCTTATCTCCCCTTCTCCCCTTCCCCCACTGTATGTCAGTACAGCAAGCCTAGAAATCTCAGCTATTTTCAATTCTATTATTTTCTGGCAGTGCAATAATGGCATAGGAGACTAAAAAGTATGTGAAAATTAGTCAACAAATGTTTGGCAGTATTAACCTAAGGACAATCTTTCTGTGCCATTAACTATTATGCCAGTATTTACTTCGGGGTTTCTCATGTACAGTGTTCCTGAAATTAACTACAATCTTGTTCCTAATCTAAATTTATACAGATAGTAAGGTACTTGTATTGACTGCAAGCTCTTTTCTGTACTTATTACTGTATCTTTCAATTCAATCAGTATGGCTTGATCAGAAAATGTTGCTTTCAGATGTGGTTGGTGCCTACATTCTAGTGCAAGGTATCATATATTGCACAATTGGTCAACTATTCTATTATCTTTTAAATATGTATGCAAAAATACTCTAAGCTACTAAATGGCTTTGAAATAATGGACAAGCATCTGAATTGTGTAACTATTCAGGAGATGCTTTCCTTTTAATACATGAGTAGACATTTTTCCTGTGGGTGTTTGCATTAGGTAGAAATGCACTGTAGGTGGTTTAATGCCTGCAGTGGGCAATCTGACCAAAGGACTGCATGATGCCATCCTTCAGGATGAGATGTTATATGAAGGCCTTGTCTTAAATGCTGCTAGCTTTATACAGCACCTGATCAGTTGCCAACTTTCACATGGTAAACAAGCACCCCGACTTTCACAATAAGCCGAAAATCAAGCTAATCCCATTTCAAAACAAGCCAATCCCTAAGAACCCTACAGTCTGTGACCAGATTCCCGCGGTATGCAGTCTGGGACTGGTGGACCCGCTGTGCACCCCTGACTCTCTTCCCCCACCCTTGCCTCTGCTTGCCAGGAGCCAATTAAAAAAAAAGGCAACAAGCTACAAGCCAAAAACTAGCCAACAAGCAACTCACAAGCCAATTAAGCCAAAAACAAGCCCAATTTCTGCGTGTCTCTTCCTCCCTTAGAAACATAGGGGGTTTGGCATGTCTGCACGTAATACAATGGGGCCCTAGTCTGTAACTAGGGCTCATATGTACTTTGGTAACAGGAATAAAAAAAGCGATGTTGCAAGCTTCTCAGGGCTGGGTGTGTCTTCCTATGTATTTGTACAGTGCCCAGCACAATGGGGCCTCTGGGAACCTCCACATTTTAAATAATACTGAATTACTGAGATTATGGAAATTCACTTTTCTATTTAATTGAATCTTTATTTTAGTACAAAACTTCCATATCCTGTATATGTTACACCTGTCACTGCTGCAAAGTCACAGAACTTATTTGCATTGCCTCCGATGTTTACAGTATCCACAGCAGCACTGTTCCACACCTTAATGAAATAGCAAATGTGGTGTAATGGTCAGATGACATTTTACTTGTCTAATTATAAAAATTCACCCATCACCCAGTGTGAACACAAATACAGTTTGCAGCCTCAGTTCCCAGATAAAGGAATTGATCCTGTAACTTCCCCATGTGAGTTATACTTACTAATATGTATAGTGCATAAACGAAAGGCTCCAAAGATGGGTGATAAGGACATAGACTCCCATGTGAGGAAAAACTGGAAAGGATATAGGATTTCTTTAAAGAAGGGACCTAATAGGAGGCTATATTGAAATGGGGCACAAAGTAAATTGCACATTCTTGTGGTTTTTTCCTTTTGTAAATCAAGTGGACATTCAACAAAACCAGAAGGGAACATATTTAAACTGATAAAAGGAAATACATCTTTACATAAGTAACCTATGAATTCATTGCTGCATGATATCTTGAAACAAAAAGCTCCTTATGGTTCAAAATCAGACTATTAGCATGGGGGAGAACATCCAGAGTTGTGGTGTGTGTGTGTGTGTGTGTGTGTTTTTTTTATCCTATCTAATAAGGATATACAACCTCATTCTATAACTGCCTTCTGTAGAATTTCTTGCACCTTTCCTTGAAGCATATGGTATTGGCCACTGTGAGATGTTACTGGGTTGCAGAGAGCAATTCTAACCCTGAGTTACTAATTTAACTCCTCTTCATCCTCAGTCAGTCTGACCTAATCCCACCCAATCAACCCTCCGGCTCCCAAGCAAGAGCACGAGTAGAGATTCCAAGATTTCCCCACAATATATTTAGTCAAATTAATCTGATTCTTTTGTTGTCAAGAATAAATCATAACTTATAGAATGGGTAATACCTTCTGGAAGAATCTGAATTCATGATCCTTATGTAAAACATACGGTGGTTTCTTCATTTTTCTTCAATAGTGATAATGTTAAAGTGCATGATGCTCCATGAATATCCACAGCTCCTGTTATGGGCACTTAAAGTAACAAATACTCTGCCTTTATAGAGCACCTTCATCCAAGGGTTTCAGTGTTCCCCAACAGCTAGTATTAACTGGAAATGCTGAGCACCATCCGTATCTTTGACTATACACTAATTCTATCCCATCATGTTGTGTAAATTGAGGGTTAGCAGCTAAAATAGAACTTCTTCTTATAGGTATGCACCCAAAAGAGTAAAGTGCTAAATAGGACACCCTGATCAATTGAAGGAGTATGTTGCCAAATACTTCTGATATAAAAGATGTAAAGTATGTTCCTACCATATAACAAATGTCTTGTAATGGATCCCTAATGTTGTAGCTACATATTCATAACTACTCCAAATTGGATTGGACAGAACATTAGTAAATGTTCTGTTGGCAGCAATCTTGAACTAGCCTGGGGGATAATAGATGTCTTAGCTCTTTGTCTTCACAGCACCATGGAAAGATATTGCAATCGGAGCTATATCAGGTTATTATGGATTTTTCTGGGTGGCATTCATACCTGTCCCTGGTATGTAACTTTACTAAGGCTAATGAACACACAGATATGGAAATCTACCACTTACCTTCCTTCCTTTTTTTTTCTCCTGATAATTATAACATTGGTTTCTCTTATGTCAGTGCAAACAAGGACTGGTTCCTGATATAACCATTGGTGATTTTTAAAAGCTCAGATTAATGAGTAAAATGCTTGGTTTTCCCCTTATTAGGGCCTGTACAAAAGAGCACAAAAGTACTCTCTATGGATGTGTCTTGTGTCCAATATTCTGCCCCCCTGTTAGCACCCCTGGTTTGTCGGTGTCAAAACACCTCTGTCTACTTTGGGGTCCATTCTGTGGGTCTACCATCAATCTGCTGTTATCCAGAGCAGAGAAATGACCATCAGATCAGGTTAAGTAGCCAAGCGAGTGACTCGCTTGACACAAGGTGCTCCTTAAGTTTTTACTTTAATGGCTCTTAGGATACAACCACACATTTCCCATCCCACTTCCCAGTGCACATGGTACCAGGGACCAGACACCAGGGCTGTACACTTGCTCAAGAGAGGCTTGGTGCAGGATAACAGTGTTTGAAACTACTCTTTCAGTAGGGTTAATGCACACCACATGGGAGTAATTCTGTACCTGTGCATTACTTTCAGCAAGACTAGGCCCCTGTGCATAAACTTAATGGAAGAAATCAGAGAGGAATGCAAGTGGTGACCATGCTTACTTTCCTGATACTTAATGAGTTTTTTTGTTTTTGTTTTTCTCCCCCCTTTCAGCCAAATATCCAACAATTAAATCTCTAATGGGACCAGATCCCCACTTAAAATGGATTGTATCTGGAATGGTGTTGACACAGCTTCTAGCCTGCTACTTGGTGAAAGATTTATCTTGGAAATGGATTTTCTTTTGGGCTTATGCTTTTGGGGGCTGCATCAATCACTCAATGGCGCTAGCAATCCATGATATTTCACACAATGTTGCCTTTGGTAACAAGCAGGCTAAGTGGAATAGATGGTTTGCAGTGTTTGCCAACTTGCCAATTGGACTTCCTTACTCCGCCTCCTTCAAGAAATACCACATTGACCATCATCGATACCTTGGTGGAGACGCTTTGGATGTGGATGTTCCAACTGACTTCGAAGGCTGGTTCTTTTGCACTCCATTTCGGAAATTTATTTGGCTCATCCTCCAACCACTCTTCTATGGCCTGAGACCTCTTTATGTGAACCCCAAAACAGTTACTCAGATGGAAATATTTAATGCCCTGGTACAATTCTTTATTGATTTTATAATCTACTACCTATGGGGCCTGAAGCCTGTCGTTTATTTAATATCAGGCACGTTACTTTGCATGGGTTTGCATCCTATTGCCGGGCACTTCATAGCAGAACATTACATGTTCTTAAAAGGCTATGAAACCTATTCTTATTATGGACCTCTCAACTGGATCACCTTTAATGCAGGCTACCACATGGAGCACCATGATTTCCCTAGCATTCCTGGATGCAAGCTGCCAATGGTAAGCATATATGTGGATCCTTGTAAAAGTTGCTAGAGCAGTTTAATTTGGAATGGCGTGTATTATAGCAATAGCCACTTTAACTAAGGCTAAAGCACATCTTTCAACCTGCCAAAGGCCACTGTGGGAGAAAATAGAAGTTAGAGCCAGAAATGGGAGTGTGTGTGGGGGGGAGGTTTACACACAAACAGTGCAAGGGGGTTTAACAATATGATTTCTTTTGCACGGAAAAACATTACCTAAGAGTTCCAACTCTTCAACTTCCTAAATTCGGCCTCTTCAGCTTATTGTGGTGTGTATAGCAGTGGTTCCCAAAGCTGGTCCTCCTCTTCTTCAGGGAAAGCCCCTGGTGGGCCAGACCAGTTTGTTTACCTGCCGCGTCCGTAGGTTCGGCCAATCGCGGCTCCCACTGGCCGCGGTTCGCCGCCCCAGGCCAATGGGGGCTATGGGACGTGGCGTGGGCCAAGGGACATGCTGGCCACCCTTCCTGCAGCCCCCATTGGCCTGGAGCGGCAAACTGCGGCCAGTGGGAGCTGCGATCGGCTGAACCTACGGACGCGGCAGGTAAACAAACTGGTCTGGCCCGCCGGGAGCTTTCCCTGAACAAGCAGCAGACCAGCTTTGAGAACCACTGGTGTACAGTATATGTGCAATGGTGGAAATAGATGAGTAGGGTTTTATGGGATGGAGGTACATCTATGTCTAAAATGGTGCCCTTCATATATGGGCAGGGACACCGGAATGGGGGGCAGGGGGCCATGGCCTGCCCCCACTTTTACAAATGAGAAGGGGCGGGGCCTCAGGGGTGGGGAAGGGACTGTGCGGGAGGGCGGGGCCATGGTTTGGGCACTCATGCCGCCCCCCCCCCCCGAGAGCTTCCGCTGCTCCTGTATATGGGGATAGCTGAGATGGCCACGTGTCTGCCGCGTACACTAAGTTGGCAATGGAACATCCTACTCTGCATACCAGATGCTGAGGTGGCTCAGATTATTTACATTTAGTGTCAAAATCCTCTTTGGCTGTTCTTGAACAGGACCTGTGAATAGCTTAAAAATGAGTTGGTTGCTTCTGTGTAAACTAAAAACAGCAGCAATTTATCAAGTGGAACTTGTCCAGTGATCACATCACCAGTTGAGTTGTAAAGAAGTGTAACTGCAGACCCTATGTTTAGTGCTGAACAGAACATGAGGGCTTGGCTTGGGTTCAGCCTCACTGAGCTTACCAACTTGACACAGACAACAGGGCAAATTAATGGAGTAGCTGATACGGGACTTGCTAAAGTATTAGAGGAGGGGAATGTGATTAATGCAAATCAACATGGGTTTATGGAAAATAGATTATGTCACAATGACTTTTTTTATGAGATTACAAGTTTGGTTGATAAAGGTAATAGTCTTGACATAATATACTTAGGCTTCTGTAAGGGGTTTGACTTGGTACTGCATGACATTTAGATTGAAAAGCTAGCACAATATAAAATGGTACACATTTAAAATGGCTAACCGATAGTTACATTTTGAAACCTATAAACAAGGAATCATAATTGAATGGGTATGTTTCTAGTGGGGTCCTGCAGGGAACAGTTTTTGACCCTATGCTATTTAACACATACCTGGAAGAAAATCATCACTGATAAAGTTGCAGATGACCCAAAAATGGGGGGAGTGGCAAATAAGATTGCTCTGAATTAATGACCTATCTGGATAGCTTGGTAAACTGGGTGCAAGCAAACAATATAATATTTTAGTATGGTTCAAAGTAAATGTACACATCTAGGAGCAATGAATGTAGACCATACTTACATAATGAGGGACTCTGCCCTGGAAAGTAGTAACTCTCTGAGAAAGATTTGGTGGTCATGGGGAATAATCAACTGAACATGAGCTGCCAGTGTGATGCTGTGGCCAAAAAAGTTAATGCAAACCTGTGGATGCATAAACGGGGGAACCTAGGAGTAGAAGTTTTTAACCTCTGTATTTGGCTCTGGTGCAACTGCTGGTGGAATACTGTCCAGTTCTGGTGCTCACAATTCAAGAAGGCTGCTGATAAACTGGAGAGGGTTTAGAGAAGAGCCGTGAGAATGTTTAAAGAATTATAAACCTGTCTTACAGTGTTAGACTCATGGAGCTAAATTTTTTGTTTAACAAAGAGAAATTTAAGGGGTGACTTGATTAGTCTAAAGTATTTACATGGGGAATGAATATTTGATAACTAGCTTTTCAATCTAGCAGATAAAGTTTTAACATGATCCAATGGCTGAAAGAGGAAGCTAGACAAATTCAGACTGGAAATAAGATGAATGTTTAACAGTGAGGGTAATTAACCATTGGAACAATTTACCAAGGATTGTGGTGGATTCTCCATCACTGATAATTTTTAAATCAAGATTGGATGTTCTTCTAAAAGATCTGTTCTAGGAATAATTTTGAGAACGTTCTATAGCCTGTGTTCTACAGGTCAGACTAGATCACAGTGGTCCCTTCTGGCCATGGAATCTATTTGAACCTTTGAAAACACAGTTCAGAGACACAGGCCAAAAGTGACTAATGATTGTAGATGCTTAGTTATAGGTCCCCAAAACTGGAATGTATGAAATTGGCTTGATGTTCAGAAAGTGCAAGTATTCACTGTCTGAAAATCCAGCCATGTTTATATGTCTAAAATTAGACTTCCAAGAGTTGACTACCTAAGTCCAGGGCCAGGGATGGCTTTGCCTTGGTCTCTGTTTTGTTACAAGTTGCCTAACAGCTCTTCTTGCTTTGGTGGTTGATGCTGGGCTTTATGGAAGAACCCCTTTTAGGAACGGATTCAAATGTGGAATATTTGGAGGCTTTGTGTACAGGCCAACAGGAGAGAAGGATACAAAAGGAGTGGTGAAGCTGAGGCAAAGTTATGGCATGGACTCCACTTTACTACTGTTTACTGCAGAGAACTCTGGTGTTCTCCATATTGGTTCAAGCACCACTTTATGCTTGTAAATGCTCTGTCCATCCAAGTACTCCTGACACTTCACAAGCATCCCCATGACTGTTGTGGGCACACTGAATTTGAGCAATCCTTGTGCATGACTCCTCCCTGTTGAGGCTCAATGCAAGCTACTTCAGTGCTGGTGTCTGTGGGGAAGTGCAGGTGTTACTCTTTAAGTGGCTTTCCATGCCTGCTCCAAAGTGCTCTTGCCCTTCAGGTGATGGCTCTGTAACCTGTGCCTGGAGTAGGGTGGTGACAGACCCCAAATCAGTCAAGTTAGTCTTCAGCTGGTCTTGGCTCCCTCAAAGCTTCCCTGCTTCCAATGAGAAGAATGCAGGACACAGCCTTCCTGAAAGTAGCTTTAATTTTAAAGTTTTGATTGCAATTACCTTTATTGATCATGCTTTAAAATGTGAATATAAAGATATCTGCTTCTGCAATAGCCAAGCAGAGTAAGGTTAGTGAGTACATTCTGCACACACAAACAAAATAGTGTTGTTCCATAAGTGAATGTGTGTACTTCTGCTGGGGGGGCCCCTCGGGTTGGCTGTGAGGCACGTGTTCCAGACTAGTGAGACCTGAAAAAGGGACACCTACAAAAACAGTAATGTGACCCCTGCCTCTTCATGGCACTCAAACAACCACTGGTGCCTCTTCCCGCCTCTTCACTGAGGTGGGGGAAGGAGGGAGGAGTGGGGAGGAGCCCACTGTATAAAATGGGCAGGTGTGGGGTGGTGGTGTGAAACTAGCGGGGAGTCATGGACTTGTCTGGAAGCATGTCCCACTTGCAGGTCAGTGTGTACAGACTACTCTGGTTTTTGGAACTTAGAAGGAGATGTAAAGAGAAGGAAATGAATATGTTGTGATTATGACAAATTTTTAAAGCTATTGCACATTGGAGCTGGCAGAAAACTTTCCGTGGATGTCTTTGACAGAAAATAGCTTTTGGCAGATGTGGAAATTTTTGCAAGCTACTTTTTTTTTTTTTTTTGGTAGAAATTTTTGACTTTAATTAGAAAGATCAAAACTGAACTTTTCCCTTCACTCTTCAGTTACCAAAAATGCTAGAGACCTACTTTAAACATATACTTTCCCTGCAAAAATTAGTTTTGTTTTCTTCTACCAGCTCTATTGCACAAAATTCACAACATTGGCAAATACATTTTTGTTTCTAATTTCTATTTTAACAGCAAGCACCTGACCCACCTGGAGCATCCCTGTCCAAAGGCAGTAGCTGGACTAGTTATAATGAGCTTAAACCTAGCTCTCTCAAGGGAATAACTCCTGGCTCTCAAAGTCTTGTGTAACTTTGTGGGCAGGACAACCAATGGAAGGAGCCATTGGAACAGGCCAAATATGTAGGTGATGATATAGTATTGCATATGGTCAGAGTGGTTATATTGTACCTGCTTTATATTAATAAGCATTCAGGGCTTTGGGCACTACAAAAACCCTTCAGTTCAACAGATCAAAGACTAACAAATGCATGCTGCACCTGCTCCAGGGAGCCGTGATAAAATTATGGGATATATCACAATGCACAATACTGCAACAGTTGGAGGGACCATTTTGTGCACATGCGGCACTGGCTCACTTAAAGGAGACAGGCTAGGATGGAATGAGTGGCCCTCAAAACACTCTGCTGTATTGATGGTTGAAAAATTGTACTGATTTCTTGAATAAAATTTCAAGAAATGTTACCACATTCAGATAAAACTTACTTCATTAGGTCTACTTAACTGCAGTGCTTAACCTTGGACTTGTTAAATCCTCTACTATAGTTGGTCCTTTTAGATGTAGAATCTCTAGCTTTATCTATCAGCAAGTACAAAATGGGAGCTGTTTGAGTATGATCAGGTCTCACACATAATGGGGAAATGAGGGAATAAATGGACCTTGTACTGCACTTTCATTTGTTTATCAGAAATTGATATTTAGCTTCATCTACCACAGATGGCTCATTCAGAATGTCCCAAGCAACACGTTTGCCACTGGAAAAACCTGTATCAGTGTGACCCTCAGAAGATCTCTGA